TCGTTGAGACCTAGATCACTTGATGAGTGTTTTCAGGGAGGGGAGAAACAGCTCGTTCACAGCCCCTGATTGCACTTATTGTTTTCAGTTGGCCCAAACCGGAGCTACTAGACAACAGGATAACCTCCAGATGAGTTTCCTTCTCTTTTCCCAATGGAAGATAGTGCAAAGCAAAAGTTTAAGAAGACAAAAACAGGCACTAACAGACACTCAAGGCCCTTCGGTGCAGATTCAAGTCTGTTTGAAAGTGCTACATGTAGTATAAATACAGTAACATAAAACAATGGTGTCACATGTTATTAAATTCTTATTTAGACTCAACAACTTACACTGAGGAGAACGGAAATGGGAGTTTACAAACACCAGTTTTAAATAGAATGCTTCAACTTGAATTGAAATAGCCAATACTACATATAATTAAATATTTTTGTTTTTATCTACATTGTGACATTTTCAGTTAATCATCAGTCAAAATACGTCGACTAAATGAGAAAAAAGCAATACAACTTTATTTGTTTAACTGAAATTTTCATTAATACTGTTATCATTCTAATTTATGGAATGTTTTCTACATTTTTAATGTTAAAACATTTTGTTTTAAATACTGTACATTTTAATAGCTCTTTGTTTATTTAACCTACAATATAAACAAATTGGTATGATATACTTGCTCTATATTAAACCTCACATGACTAAACATAGGCTCATTAAATGTTCAGGATTTCAGGGGCTGATGATACTCCAACTAAAATGCATGCAGCTATTGATTGTAGCATTTATCTTTTGCCGTTTATACATTTTAAATTTAAATTTGGATAAATGGATGCCTTAGTTTTAAAAATACAGAAGACTTGTTTGAATAACAGCACAACAAACCAAAGCCTGTAGTGAACAGATGTAAATAACATTCCTGAATTTAGTGACTGTAGGAAACATCTTAAAAGCTCCATATTCTCACATGCTGTACCTGGATAACACCTGCTTGTTAACAGCTCCCTCCTCTCATCCTCTGACGTTTTTCATCATGACATTTTCATAAAGTGTTTTGTGGTGCTGCTGCAATACCTCACACTCTTTCTACAGTTAACATACTTCATTGTTAGTAGCACTAACGTAGCTCCACAAATGACTGTTTACGTTTGGCCACATTAACAATGGCTAACGGTGAGTTTCATCCGCAGCATAAACAGAAGGAAGTGCAGTGTGCGCTGCACCCTCAGTGGTGGTTTAAGGTATTTATATTGTGCCATATTACAAACCAAGGTTGGCGGAAGAAGTAGTTCCGGTCTAAAAACATAATTTTTGAAAAATGTTCTGAAAATTTAAAAACTTAAAATTACTCAGATATCAATACTTTAATGAGAGTTCCAATACATTAATAACAAGAATTGGAGTATCGATATTATAGTATTCATCTGCACATCCCTACCAGCTATCACTCGCCAACAACACAAGTGATCTGATGTTGTTTTGTTTCAGTTCAGGTGCCTTACTGTAGTACAGCGGTAACAAATGCATCAGTTTACCTCAAAACAGCCGATGCCCAGCTGATAACTTTACACTCACAAAATGCAAGATCAAAAAAGAAATCCCTACATTTCAAAATGACTGTAAACACTCAGTTTCTGCTGCAAAATAAGGTGCTATCATGAAAGGTAATTTCAGAACAAACCACACAAAGCACTCAAAAGTTAAACTTGTCATTAACTAAGCTGACATATCACCTCTATAGTTATCGTCTACATCTAGATGTAAGTCGCTTTGGACAAAAGCATCTGCTAAATACATAAACATAAACATAAACATCTAGGGTCACCACCAGTCTTCAACAGAGTTATAATAAAGACAAATGATGATATGTGTCATGTCCTTTCTCCTGTCCATGTCACCTTGTGTCCGGTCTATATTCCGTCTCCCTAGTCCATTCCATGTGTTCTTCCTTGTCCAGGTTTTCTTGTTTGCTGTACTATATGGCGCTTACACATTAGCATCGGTACGGCCCATACGGTGCCGAACGGCACCGGAATTTGGTCTCACACACAGGTCAGATTTGTGTTTTCGCTGCTGAGGTGACTCTTTTTCTCAGACCTCCTCCCCAACGGTCAGACTGGGACCGAGTAGACATTACGGACTGACTGGCCAGCCAAAGATACATGCCTACCTCTTGGCGCCACTATAGAAAAGCTTGTGATTGGCCCAGCAGCATCAGTGAAGTGATATCATTTGACAGCGCCTAATAACAAAAACAAAAAACTTTCACTTACTTTGCTAGCATTTGTCTTAACCTACGCAAGGTGTCTAACCTCCAATCAAATCAGCCATGGAGTAATAGCGGGGTGAAAACCCTTCTTTTTTTGCTTGCTGTAGATAGGATCCAGCTAGAACTAGATGGAGCAGTGAGGAACGAGAAGGTGTTTCAGGAGCTTTCACAAGCCTTGGCTGTGCAAGGATTCAGCAAAACCTTCAAACAGTTTCGCGATAAACTGAAATGAATGAAATGCGAGTACAGGACAATCAAGGACCACAACGGTTGGAGTGGATCGGACAGGCGACAGTGGAATTGGTTTCAAGAAATGGACGCCATTTATGGAGAAAGACCCGCGAGCAATGGTCAGGAGGTTTACGTCGACAGTGCGGCTTTAGCTGAAATGGCTCCAACTCAAAACACCTTAGTGAGTGGGGACTTAACCTTGTGTTAGGTATCATTAGGATGTAATGCATAAAAGGCCTGTTCGGTTGATCATTCATTCATTCATTCATTCATTCATTCATTCATTCATTCATTCATTCATTCATTCATTCCCAGCCTCAGTCACCTTTAGCCGCTTATCCTGTTTGATTTCTTATTTAGTTGTGTATTTTCTTCAGTCAGTCCCTGTTCATGGTTTAGGTTATTCTCCCAACAATCCAGTTTAGTTATAGTTATGCTTTCTATTTTTGAGTTATTTTTACTTGGTCATCCATTACTGTATTTTTGCAGTATTTAGTTCTAGTGTCTTATAGTTTATTTTTTTCTGGTTCAGTCCTCGTGTATTTTTGCATTGCCTCCCATCTTCTGCTTACCAGTCACACCTGTTGGTCATTCTCATCAGTAATCAGTGCACCTGCTCCCTTTGTCTTCACTCGCCTCCGCAGCAGTATTTGAACTCAGTCATTTTCATAGCTCTTTGTTGGTTCCTTGTGTTTGTTGGCATATCTGTGTTTTTCTCCTCATGTTTTTGTCAGCCTGTTCTTGCTCCATACCACAGCTTGTAAATAAACAGTTTTACTTTTTGAACCATACCTGAATGCCCCTGGATTTACCTGCATTTTGGGTCCTGCTACAACCTCCATTTCATGACAGTGTGAAACCAGATATACTATTCAATCAGCACATGTCTCTTTAAAGAGACAATATGTAGTCATTTGACTACTTTTAATCTTGGGAAATATTCATCAAAATGTTGTTGAAAATTAATAAAATGATGTCCAGTCATTTAAAAAATTGCCGGCTTCATATCATATAACGTTAAAAATCAGGTCTAAATTACATAAGGCGTGGGTCTAGTGTGTGTTGGGATGCCTTATCCATGCTTATTTCTAGCCGGCTCAAGTTTCTGTGCCAGTCGATTGTAGCGGAAATCCACACTTAATATCATCAGTATTAACTTTCATCGGGTTCACACAAAGTTTTTCCTGTCACAGTTAACCAGTCATTATATCTGGAGCTAGATTTCAGTTCCTCCCTCTCTAAGCTCCTAGGCTCTGGAATGAGCTACCTCTGTCTTTACGCTCAATCGACTCAGTTGATGTTTTTAAGAGCAATCTTAAAACCCATTTGTTTCTCCAGGCATTTTAAACTTAGTCTCATTCGGATTGGTTTTATTTGACACTATGTATATTGTGGCTGTGTTTTACTGTATTTATATGTTGTTGCCTTTTAACTTGTGAAGCACTTTGTGACCTTTTTGTCTGTGAGAGGTGCTATAGAAATAAAGTTACTTACTACTTACTTACTTACTAAATACTGGCGAGCATATCGGTTAGTTTCAGTTGTGATGAGGGTCCAGAATTCCTCATCCCAAAAAGCTGACAGAAAATCAATGTGTTCTGAATTTGACAGATCCCTGTCTCCACAGTATCCAACTGGCTCATCAAAATGCCTGATCCACTTGGAATACTGTTCCTCTTCTCCCAAACTTGGTTCAGCCATCATCATTATTATTGTCACTGAGGCTGTGTTGGGCCACCCCCTTGCTAGCAGTGATTTTTTCAAAGCAGTTCCTCCCTCTCCTGCTGCAATTCCTGCGGTTTACACCCCCCGGGGCTGAATCGATCACCAGCGGGGTTTTCACCGGCCCGATCACCGCCACCACATCACCCCACCCCCCGTGGAGCGAAGAATAAGACCTGGTACAAGCTGCCACATCTCTTTCTCCGACCACGGAGACGCAGAACATCGGACAAGGTAACCACCTTATGTGTATCGGCTGCTTGTGTAACCACGTCGTCAGACTCCCTGTTGCTGCGCGCTGAAGCCACGCATTCCGTCTCGCTAGAAGATCGCAGATCATCCTCGGAAAGGAAATATTCTTCCTCCGAATCCGAATCTGCCAGTATTACACGAAGAGCTTCGTCAGCACTAAACATTCCTCTCGGCATTGTGTTTTTTCCCTCTACCACTTGCTCACTCTTACTCGACCTGACTGCTTTGACAAGCCCCGCAACTCTGCGACTGGTGGGCGGGGTTCAAGCTCTAAATACTCCAAAAGTTTCAATAGTAACACACCCACAAATGCTGCTTGGATTGAAGTTACAGGTGTCTGCCACCCCGCTGTGTAACGTATTAACTGCATGAGGGCTCATTTCTGCTGCTGTGGCTTATTAAATCCAACATTACTGCTTGTCGCAATTCTGCGACTTTGGCGCTTAAAGGGTTAAGATTCATAGTGTTATAGAGTCCACTTTTACAGCCTCATTTAGCACACATTCATATTCATATATGGCAGGAAATTCCTTACCTACCTCTATCTGATGTGCTGTCTTTGATTAAGACTCAACATGAAGATGAACTGCAGTCACAAGCAGGTGGAGAAAAAAGAGTGGTGACCAAGGGAGACAGATCCAAAGACCTGTAGGAGAGAAAAAAGAAACAAGAGCTAGGTTACGACCAAACTGATGTTTTAATTAATTTTTGAAATTACAACTCCTACATATCTCTATTCTTGAACATTTTTGTTGCATTTTTTCTGGGACTTTTTTGTTAGGATTAATTTACTACTGTAGAACCCTAGATTAATCCGCATATCTTTTAAAATCACAAATTTCAATCAGCTTCCAAACTATTTTATTGCACCCCATACAAAAGAAACGACTCCTGCTAAGGTTCCCTGTTAAGTGAGCACACTCAATGGCATTTGGAAAGGGGATCTTTCAGCCTCATCCCAAGTGCCAGTGCCCACTTCCAATTTTAAACTGCACTTAGACACCGAGGGCTGTAGGGGGAAGTGGGGTTGTGCGGTTGCATCAGCTGGCATAGGCCAGACGATGCCCGCTCACCACAGCCATGGAATACACCTCATCAACACGCACTAACACTGTATTGTAGCAGGCCGAGGGAGACTAGGGGTCTTAGCACACCTCTGTTGTCGCTTGGCTTCCCAGGGCTGGAGGCTAGGAGGGGGTGCTGGCCATCTTGTTGGGGTCTGGGTTGGTGGGATGCTTTGCTCAGCGTTGGCCTGCTCATCATCACTCCAGCAGAAAGGGGCGAACTCTGGGAACCGGTGATGGTTGTACCCATTGTGCAGCAGTACCGGGACCAAAGTGAATAGGGTGTGTTTGAGTATGGGGGAGCATGAGTGGGTGTCTAACATTCATTTTTGTAAGTCTTTGGTTGTATGTGTATGTGTAAGTATGTGGGAGGGAGTATGTGACTGTGTCTGTGTATGACTGTATATGTCTTGGACTCCTCCCCTCTCCTGGGACTTTTTGTGCTACTACACATCTCTGCCTACCCTACCCCTGCCACACTTGGTGTGGAGTGTGATGCCTTGGTCTGCCAGTGTGGTCACGGCTACCGGGTCAGGGTGTTTAAGCTTTTTGGAGTCTGCCTGATCGATCCTGGTGGCTGCCTGGTGGGATCTGAGTCCCTGGGCTCTGTTGGGTCCTCTGCGGGGCTGGTCGTCCCTGGGTCCCGGGTCGCTGGGTTCCGGGTTCAGCCGGCTTGGGGGTGGGAGGCTGCGGGCGGGCCTGTGGGCTTTGCACTGATGTCTCCCGAAACTCTGCTGGCTGCTGGTTGTGACCCCCCAGAGCAATGCTCTGCGCCTCCCGAGAGGGGGCTGGGGCTTTTCTGCTTACAGTCTCCCTGGGGTCTCTGAGCGCTAGGGCAGCTCCTGGATATCGGACTTGGAGCTCCCTCCATCTCCTACACATCTTTGGGGGGCAGATCTGTGGCTCCTCACACTCTCTATTGGACACTCCTATAGAGAAACATTACATATACAAGCACGTGTACACACACAGGTGCTCACATGGTGCTCTCATAAGTATGGACTTGGACTGTGGGCATTTTCAACACATGTCTTAAGGCTGTGGTTGGCACTAAATGTACTGTCATTTATTATCGTGTGATTGTTCATTGAAATAATGTTGATTTAATATTTCCTCATCAGGTTGATGCAGTGATAGCTTGCCCTTGCAGTATTGTGGTGCGTCCCCTTCTTTTTGTGTGTGTTGTTTTTCTCTTTCTGCAGGTCTAGAAGCAGACTCTTGTACATCATTGTTAATTTTTGTCCCCCACCCCCACCCCTGTCTCTTCCTTTCTCTTTCACCTCTGTCTCAGCGTCTGGTCGGAATTATAAAGCATTCAAAAAGCAATAACAATAAAGTTTTTAGAAGCTTTGATGCTCCACCTGAGGGTAAATACCGTAAGGTTTGTCACCAGCATTCAGACATTAATTATGTTTGCCTCACAGCCAGACATGAAATGGGGAAAAAAATAAATAAATAAATAAAAAGTTCCCAAGTACCACAGGGGTCAGTGCTCGGCCCACTCCTGATTTCAATTAGTGTACTGACTTTGGGCCAGATTGTCAGTTTCTAAAACACTGATAACCCATTTTAGATTAAAAGCATTTGGCAATGAAATTTACAAAAAAAAAAATGCTTCCATGCATCCCCTTTTCCTTTCTTCTGGATTCAGTAATTCATTACAGGTTTAATCTACAAATCATGGCAAATCAAGAGAGTTCAAATGTTCACACTGTAGCCTGACACTGCTCTCTCCAAAATACAAGAAGTAAATGAATCATAGCCTGTGTCAGTTTTCAGTTCAAATTAGAAGTAAACAGAGTGAAAGGCTGAATTGATGAGGCCCACCCTTATCTAATGCATTCATGTGAAACTGTCATCTCGCCAACAAACCTTGTGTACATACTGTCTAAACCTATTATAATGCTTGAAATGGAATTGTCCCTTTTTCCCCTCTTCTCTGTCATTCACAATATCAGGAAAGTGAATTATGTTGATTCATTCAAAGGAGAGCATCTGTCATTACTGCCTTATTTTTCTCTCTCTTTCATTGGTAATCTCAAAGGGAATCTATACTAAGAGCTTCTAAAATAAGATCTCAAGATTCCAATTATATTCCTGAAAAGCAGCAACCTACAAGTCAGTACAAAATAAGATTTTTTTTAAAGCAAGTGACTGAAAATGCTTTGAGCACCTTCAAATATGGCCTGTGATGCAAAAATTATGTCACTTTTTCAAAACCATCCATCCAGTATTGATCAAAGGGCTAATAAAATGAAACCGACAGTCTTCACTTTTGGTTTTAGTGGAGTACACAATGAATCACACATCAAACAGGATGTGGGCATTTTGGCATTTGCTTTCCCAGCCAGCTGAGCTAACAAGCTGCAGATTATTAGAAAATCATTACTCACATCAGAGACCTATAGAGGCGTCTCACCACCAGGACATGAAATAACAGCATGACAGCAGGACAGTTGATTGGCCTGACATTCCGACAGTCTCAGGTAAACGTTCACACATAAGTCAAGGTTTATGAAGATGATAGAAAAAGGAGGTCATTAAATGATAATAATATGCAAGGCTGTAGAAACATATAGCTGAATGAAATATAAATGACTGCCTACATGCTTATTTAACACCACAGATTTTTCATATAATTGAAAACCTTTCAATGCAATGCCGTAAAGTAAGTGTACAGGCATATCTTTAGCTTTGATTTTTCCAGTAAAGCAGATGATGAATGTTTATTTGTAGCACAGTCTGAAAAGCTGGTGAGCAGTGGCCATGGCACAAGCATGACAAATCACGTTTGCCTGGTTTTCAATCTCAAAATGCAAGTCATTTTTTTCACAGTTTGGCTGATTGTACACAAAGCTTCACAACTCTCTCTGGTTTCATTGAAGAAAATACTAATTATCTTCATGAGAGACATCTCCACTCTTTAACTGTCTTTCCATGCTTCCATTTATGTGGACCCTTTATTTCCAAATCTTTGTTCTATCAAAATAATAATCCTCAAGAGAATACTCTGTAGCGTTTTATTCTGCTGCAGTTAAATCCCTGGTGGTTGGAGCTTCTGGCTTCAATGAGGTACATGAAATTATAGCACACCTTTGCAGAGTGGCTTTACAAACCCCTGGGTTTCATTATAGAAAAAAAACTACACGACAGTTTAAAAAATGAAAAGAGTAGAAAAAAAACCAACACCTACAGATGAACTTTCTAAATGACTGTTTTCCATTATGAAGGAAAAGAGAGATGGTTTTATGTTAAGAAATTTGGATCTGCTGAATTTCAGACTCAGAAAGGACATGAATGTGCCACGTTTTGGGAGTTTGATGGAAGCTCTTGATAGTGACTTCAGTCACACTGCACTATGTAAAATTTAATATATGCTAGGCAGTGCGATTTTCTGCCACAGCAGAACTGCTTACATCATCAACATCAGTGCAACAATAATGTGGAGCGCAAGCGCTGGCGTTGAAAATCTTATTAGATTCTGATTCTAACGAGGTGGAAAAGGACACAGACGAGGAGCTGGTCACAGCAGCAGTTAGACTGCAAATATTTTCCAGATAATTCCTGACACTTCTTCATATTTTTCCACATATGTCATCAAATGCTGACTTTTTATTTCTTCATGATAAAAGATTTTATAAAAGATGGATAAAAGTCACACTGACTGAACTCAGTTTTAAGGCAGAAACTTTCACCAACGCCACAGCAGCTTCAGCTGCACTCTACTGACTGTGGTGCCATTTGAACAACAGACAAAAAAAAAAAGACCACAAAAGTCAAAGCAGCAGAAGAAGAGCACAAACTCTCTTGTTTGGGAAGCATTCTTGATACAAATGTTCTGAGGATCAGTGGGGCAGCAGTAGCTCAGGAGGTACAGTGGGTTGTTCGGTAATCGGAAGGTTGTAGGTTTCATTCCAGCTCCCGTCAGAGAATGCTGTTGTTGTGTATTTGGGCAAGACACTTGACCTGCCTTGCCTGCTGGCAGTGGTCGGAGGGACCGGTGGTGCCTGTTTTCGGCAGCCTGGACTCCCTCAGTGTGCCCCAGGGCAGCTGTGGCTGTGTTGTAGCTTATCATCACCTGTGTGCGAGTGTGTGGATGACTGATTGTGTTGTGAAAAACCTTGAGGGGTTGTAGACCCTAAGAATGTGCTACACAAAAATACAAATACAGACCATAGTTTCTCAGAAATGTAAAATCTCTTTTTTTCTTTATCATTTGAATAGAGTTGACAAATAAAAAAAAACTGCTTAAGTGGTGGATTCACATTCATAAATACCAGAATGCAAAAGCGTATTGTGCCTACATGCACAAGGAATATTATGTGCAACTACATTTCTACCTTAAGACTGTCATTTTTGCACATTAACACAACTTCTGTCCTTTGATCTGTGGATTTTGCAATCTTCACAGTGGTGCCACCAAGAGCTCGCCAACTTGCCCCAACTGCAGGCCTGGCTCCAGAAGGGAGCCCCGATGACCTGTGTCTGGGTGAGGTAAGGTGATTTCCATTATTGTTTTGCCTCATATGTGGAACGTGAGATCAATAGGCAGATTGGTGCTGTGTCTACAGTACTGCGGGTG